TATATATAAATATAAATATATATATATATATTACTCTAGCTCATTTATTATTCAAGCTCAGTCCATAGACTTGTTAAGTGGGTAACAAGCTCGGGAGTATGTTAGGGTGAGGAGGAATCACTTTTGGGGTTTTTTTAAAGGTTTCACCATTCGAGTTGGCCTACGCGTTTTTGCGGAGTTTTTCTTGAAGTTCTTGAATTGGAACAATTTTTCTCCATCCTCATGGGGTATTGCACGGTCTTATCCTTCACTAATTCAACTTACTAGAGCACAGAATGTTGATGATGAGCAGTTGAAGTTCATGGCCAATAATGTTTCCAACTGTTATGAAAGAGTAGTGGACAACAAAAGGGATGAGGAACCATTTAACAATGCCAAAAGCTGTGAAGGATCAATCTTCTATTTTGCTTTCACAGGGAAAGAATCAGCATCGTCGGTAAGAACTTAAACACAACCACTAACATCGCCCACAATGGCGAAAGCCTCACCCCTTTTCTTAGGATTATACTCTTTTGAATACCTCTCGGTCCATCATCCTCATGGAGATTCAAAATGATGGCCATGTTCAATAGCGACAACCACATATAATTTGTTTCATCGTGGTTGAGGACACTCACCGGAGTAATCATTTTAAATACATCAAAAGTTTTGTCTGCAAAGGCACATCATTTACTTTTTATGAAATCATCAGCCCTAACTTGACCAAAATTATCTGCATGATTAACAGTCCCCATTATAGTGTAATCAATGAGTGTGATGGTAGGCAAAATTGAGAGTTGAGGCTATTAACCAAAATTGAGAATTAAGATCTTTTTGTGTGCTTTGCAAGATAAGGTTAGCTATAAAGCGAGGAGTGATGAGAATCAAGTGCTAATGCAAGAAGATTGAGAAATAAAATAATTCTGTTTAAACTTGAATTTTACTGCTTAAAGGCCTCATATTTATAAAAATTTATAAAAAAAATAGGATCCTAAAAAAATAGGATCCTATATATATATATATACACCAGTCCGCTAATTTTACGAATTAGGAAATTTATTCTGAATATTTGAATTGCTGGTAGCCATCCCTTGCAAATCTAA